GTACAAGATTAAGAGTACTAAAGTACGATATTCTTGGATATGGCTTACTCATTTTAAAATGTAATTTTGTAATAATTCAAAAGCCAAAAGAAATGAAAATGTTATATCGAAATAAATACCAACGTATTTGTATTTATTACATTTGTATGTACTTTTGGAATCACTTTGAAAAATAGAATACTTGCTTCAACTATGACATGATTATTGTTCAACGCGTAAGTGACCATAGCGTGTTTTGAAATTATGTCTAAAGGGGTAGATCTGAGAATGCGGAAATGAAGGAAGAGGAGGGCGGTGGAAAGAAAAGGGGAGCATTAATGTGCCCCCCCCCCCCTTTCCACTTCCCAATTTCCCCATGTGCCTAAGCCAATTCTTGAAATGATTTTTCGTAAATGATACATAGAAGACCCAAATATGGCCCCACTGAGTGTAAAATCCCTGGATGTGCCTATTGGGTTGAATGATTTCCAAATAAAAGAAACTAGAGGGGGGGGGGGGGGTTACAGTTTACGTTTGCCGATTACCTTGTAAATGTTAGTGGTATCCTTACTTGAGAACTGCAATTAATCCAGTTCAGAACCAAAAGACTTCTGATTGTCATGATCAGAACACAATATGTATGTGCCCGTGTCATTTGATATAATGTAGGTAATATCTTGCTGTTAGATACACAGAACTATAAGGATCAGGCGTAAATAAAAAGTTAATATTCAAAACAAACGAAACAATGTAGAAAAGTTGACAGGGGAACCAACAGACAGACAGCCAATAATTAGAGGCTAACAGGCATGCTTACAGACAAGCAGATAGAGAGACAGACAAAGAGATAGAAAAGTAAGCAGTCAGAAAAGAGAATGGGAGGTGAATGACATACTGTAGAGAATTTTGAAACTAGAACGTGCTGGTAGACAGAAAATGGAAAAAGCGAACAATTAAAGAGTTGGTAGAGAGGGAGAAGAATTCTGCAGTATCTATTTCTAATCAAGAGAGAGAGAGAGAGAGAGAGAGAGAGAGAGAGAGAGAGAGACAGAGAGAGAGAGGGATAGATAGATAGATAGATAGATAGAT